GGGGGGGGGGGGCACTCCCACCGTTTATAGGAAATTGAGACCCCTTGGCCCAAGAATGCAGCAGACTAAATTTAGTTAAAATTCACTAAGACGTTCAGGACAAGAAGTGTTTTAAAGGAAAAGTTGGCAGGCGGATGGACAAGGGACGCTGTGGTATGGCATAAGCTCACCATAGTCCTTCGGACCAGGTTAGCAACAAATCAAAAGCTTTATTTGAATAAAATACTTCTTAGCATTTTCATTGACTAAAACAAGCCTAACAGTGTATATAACTTACACATCACAGACACAGTTACAGTTGTAGTTGACTCCCCGACAACATTCCTAGCAGTACATCTGTACGTCCCGTGTTCTGACTTGTCCAGTTGTCCCAGTGACAACACAGCTGAGACAGTGAAGTTGGTGTTGTCAGGTTTTGTCCAGACAAAGGAACAGCCTGGTCTACAGTCAGCTGTACAGGTGATGTCCGGTAACGTGTCCCCCTCAGTCCTGGTGTAGGTAGTGTCCGGTGGTGACAGGGTAACAGTACCAGGACCAACTACAATGAACATATATGTATATACAATATATGTAATCAGAAAAAACACATCTAAAGTCCTTGTGATGTTTCAATATAAAATAGAACAAAGGGGGAACTGTTTATTTATGTTGACAGCACAACACAGAAATTGATGACGTCATGATACAACAAAGATTGTGTCACAAAAAGAGATACATGTATATTATCACAGACATGAGTTTAGCAACGGACTTTTCACAAGATTATCTTTTTTAATCATGCAACCATCTTTGCTGCTAGAACAATTTAAACCAGGTTTTAATATATCGACAAACATTGATTCCTCTTAATATAGCAAATGAACAGTCCCCCCGATGAACCTCTAAGAGGTGAACGCAAGTACTATTAAGATACTAATGCCATTTGTTATATATTTATATCATGTTTTACCTATGCTTTTGTGAGTCTTATACATTTCAATATTTGTACAATGTTGTAAAATTTGTAAATGTATATAGACTAGTTTCAATATGCACAATTGTCATTTCTCGAAAATTCCACCAAATTTTCATACTTGCCGATCTTGTACATATTTGGTTTATATTTTAAAGTTCAATACACGGGAAAGGATTTTACATGTTAGTATCATCATTTAGTGAGATCATGATTACTATCCATTGCCCTATAGCCAACCTAAATATATCTTGTCAGTTTGTCTGTTAGTCTTCTACAGCTTTTCATTCAAACTATGGTATTTAACAAATAAACTGCAACATGTTTACAATATTTATGGGGGAAAGATGGATACTACTGTAAACAAACTGGATTATGAAAATTGGGAAATCGAAATCGTCTTGCTAAGATTGCAGCTCTCTTGTTAGCTGTTCCAGTTAATCATATTGTAAGTAAAGATTTCTTTAGTAGCCAAAGGGCCGGTTTCCAAAACGGCCCCTTCTCTGATTCAAATTTCCTGTTGGTGGTGCATTGCCCATGCCGTTGTGGTCACAAATCTATAAAATATAAAGATTTAGATCACTTGGTTTGTTTTTTATGGTTCCTCAAAGTTGTACCTTTCAGAAGCTGTCTAAGTGTTGATAAAATGTGCATGTTATGTAAAATATTAATGAAAATCTAATCAAATGATGGTCACCGTAAAGAATACATTCATGGCATGATTGTGACAAAAAATCATGTTTCCATCGCGCCATTTGGCTGTTTTATGGAAGAAACAATCTCAAAAATGCCATTTTCGATGATAACATTTTAGACACAAAAACTGTGTTTTTTAGAGAATACACCCTTTTATGGGCGTTGGATGCAAACCAATTTTTATCCTATTAAACAGTACGTAATATGCTATTGATGAGAGGAAAAATCATCAAAATGTAAGTGGTGGAACATTTTCAAATGTTGGGTTGAATTAGCCTATGGTTGAATTGCCGATTTTCGACTTTCTTTAGATAATTAACAAAAAAACGAGAGTATTTGCTCGGTATGTTGAGAATATGTACACAGATATGAAAAAAAGTGAGAGAAACACTTTTTCATAAAAAAAATCCAAGATGGCTACTTCACAAGTCCCCGTGGTTGAAGACATTGGCTGACAAATAGACAGAACAACAAACAAAACGTGTTCCTTATGATTTTGGTTGGTTTTCGCATTTACGGGAGTGTTCATAGCTACGGGCGATTGTATAATACCTATATTTATAAGTTTGGTTAGTCACATGGTAACGGGGATCTTTCATATCGAGCCCCAAACATACTTTCGACATATGCACTCCGTTGCCGCATGGAAAACTATTTCAAGTTTTGTCGGAATTTCTTTACCTGTGGTTGTAATGGTCGAGGGTTTTCCAGCGTCCTGTAATACCCAAGGTAGTACAAGATACTGGAGATGTGCGCACACATTCCCATCGTTCTCTCTCCAACTGGGCACTGGCAGTAGTAGTCCTTTATTGGGGCCTCAACATCGGGTGAAACGGTGAACCGTATCCAAACGTTATATTTCGTTTGGCTTTTGTGTCGAGAATGTATTTGACATCGGAGAAGGTCTGGGGAGTGCTGGTAAAGCCACACCTCATAGTCTCCGTCATCACTTAAATGTTCGGCGATGTAACCAGGAGCCAGAGATATCTGATACGTTCCACACGTAATGGTTCTCAAGTAATCAAGATCGAGACGGGGAAACAGTACGGAAGATGCATCCATCTTGACAAACTCGGACCTTGCCCGTCTAGATAGATCCGGATCTGTCTTGACTCTCTGAGCTAAACCATTCGGTGTTGTCAAACGGTCCTTCATACGTTCAGCCATTAGCCTATCTTTGGCATCTCTCTCTGGAGATCTCTGGTAGATCGGTCCTCTAATACCATTCAGACAGGCTGTGACGGTTCGAAGCAAAGCCTCGATGACATTGATAAAGCTGTTAGACACCAATTGCGTTCGGAAGAACGTCCAGTGTTTCAGACGACCATGATAGGATTCCACAATCCACCTCGATTTGGTGATAGTTCTGTCAAGATTTGCTTGGACGTCAGAATGTTGACTTTGACCGGGTTTCAGGTATGACGGCATGCTAGCATTGAGGCCAGAGGCTTCGAGAACTGGTAGGACATCTCTAAAACCTCGGTCAACGACAACGTTGTCGTCTGGTTGTAGCCAAGTAACTAGCTTGTCCATGACTTTTTTTGTAATTGTAGCATCATTTTCGCTGCCAGTGAATGGTCCTACTGTGTCCAGAATGTAGCCATCTGGTAAGGCGATGCTCATGAATTTGAGATAGTTTCTCTTCTTCTGGCCACAGTAGGACATTCTCTGGAGCTTGTGGTCGGAGCTTTTCTGGATATAAATATAGGTGCCATCTAATATGGCAGTGGCTTTATCTCCAAAAAATGCTTCTGAAAAGACAGTATTGTGCCCGAGCAACTGTTCTCTTGTCAAGTGATCCGGACCTAGAAATTGTGGGACTATCGATGTGTCTAATGCCTGTACTATGGAGTGGAAAGTTTTGGACACACTTGACTTGGAAATTCCAAAAAGAGAAGAACACTGACTCCAGGAAATGTCGGTTTTCAGTTTTACCCAGAACAGTAATAGAGCATCGTGTGTAGTCTTGGTATATATACCAGATGAAAATTATGGGGAACAGTGCGAGTGGATTTCGAGGAACTGATCTTTGGACCAACTTGTCCAGGCCATGCATGCCAAGTCATCAGGAGAAGAAAAGCTTATTGTAAACGCAGACTGGTTCTGTGAAAGGACGTGCGACACCTCTAGGAGGTCATTAATGATTTCGGACGATTTTGATGGTAACTGAGATTCCAAGGAACCTCTACCATCAAGGACAACCTCTGTAGACGGATCTAAGTCGTTACCAATAAGGTGAATGGAGCAGACGCGGGATGAGGTGGGACACCACAGTTTGTGTGAATAGATCAGGTGATGTCTTGCACGTTTTGGTAAGACTGATGATTTTGTTCCATTTCTTGCAAAGGTAACAAGACAGAGACAGCATTTTTTGTGTGAAGATGATCCATTCAAAAGATCATGAAGGGTCAGCAACGGCAGGATATGGGACGGGGAGTCGTCTTCTTCCTCTATTTCCTGGTTCTGCTCGGGTTCAGGTTCAGGCTGATTTTTGTTCCGAAGATACTTCATGTAGCACTTCTGGCAAATAAGTGCTTGTTCCTTTGCTGACATCAATCCTTGTTGCACCAGCGTATCTAGGAGCCATTTATATTGTGGACTATTTACATTGCGTGCACTTCTGTTCTTATTGCCACTACGTTTCTTGAAGTATACTTGACACCCTTCTCCAACACATTTACCCTCCATCTTGAAACAATAACGATTGGTTTATGAAGCGTCGATAAAGTAACAAAATAGCAAGCCACCGATGATTGCTGTAAACAGCTAATACTTAGTAGTTTGGTACAATTATGCGAAAATGTGTGATAAATAACGAACAACTAATTACACAAAATAACAAGACAATATAATAAATCACATTCAATACCTCCAAGAAGCGCAGAATTGATTGATTACTTAGAACAAAATAAAGTATTTCATATGGATAATCTATCTATTCGATGTGGCGTGGTCGGCAGGCACAAAGAAAGTGAGACAAGTCAGGGTCCCAACCCTGACAGAGCCACAACGCTTTGGAGATGGGACAATAAAACAAGGAAAGTGAGACAAGAATAGCTAGCGTCGAGTCAATGATTCCGTAAACGTATAGACAAAGACAAGAAGATACGGATAAATGTACAAGGCCACACGATCAGAAAATTCAGAAGAGGACAACTTGAGATAGAACAGTATTCATGTATCAGGGTGTCCTCAGTGTAAATCTTTATATCGATACTGTTTATTTAGTCGTTACACATCATAAAACTGTCATGAAAATATCCGCTCTGATATTCAATATAAAAGTTTGTATATAATAAGCTATATAATAGGGTTTCAGACAAGGTTGTTACTCATTTCCCCTTTTCTTTCAATTTACAACCACATTCAGGCGGCGATATGAGAACGTTCCACCACATGGAATTAGCTGATTTTTGGTACACATATGAAACAAGTAAAGCTCTATCCGATTTTCTGATGGAAATTTGCATCCAAAACTATATAACGGGAGAAAATTGCAATTTTATGGCATTTTTCTTCATAATTGTGTCTCTGCAAGTGCATTTTCATCCGAGAATATTTTTTTTTATGTTTTATGAATAAACACGATGTTTTGGAAATATTTATCAAAAGAAATTTATACTATGTTGCGAATTACAATTTCGAGATAACCTTCTTTTATTTACGAACTTATGTCTTTGATGCTGAAATTGACAACTTTATAAAAATACATTTTCACTGAAATTATGAAATCTGGGTGTCGGAAAGGTGTAAAATTATTCTTCGGAAAAGAAAAAAAACAGTAGTTGAGCTAGATAAGAAATTATACGGGGGCAGGCTCCTATGGAGAATTAAAATTACTGGAAACAGGCCGTTTGCAGTAGAATTTATAATGGAGTTCAAGTGCACGG